ACACATCAACATCATCAGCAGCACCACCATTAACACCATCATTACTAGCAGCCTCATCATCCGCATCATCGGCATCATCACCGGCAGCACCACCATCATACTCATCATCAGCATCAACATCAATATCATCAGCAACACCATCATCAACAACGTCATTACTAGCAGCCTCCTCATCCGCATCATCAGCATCATCATCACCAGCAGCACCATCAGCATCATCAACACCATCACCGTCAGCGTCAGCATCAGCAGCGTCATCCTTATTATTATTATCGTATCATCAGCAGCATCATCATCGTCCTCATCCTCATCACCGTCATCGTCACAGTCATCGCCAGCATCCTCAGCAGCATCATCATAGTCGTCGTAATCGTCCGTACATTCGCTACCACCACCATCATCATCAGCGCCATCACCATCACCTGCGACAGCAATCCCATTAGCAGCTGTATCACCATCGCCTTCATTAGCATCAGCCGCATCATCATCATCCTCGTTGTCATCATCACCACCATCATCAGCAGCAGCATCAGCAGCATCTTCATTAGCGTCACCGACATCAGCATGCTCACCTGCATCATCCGCAGCACCAAAATCATCGCCATCGTCGTCGCCATCGCCATGATCAGCATCACCATGACAACCATAATCCTCATGAGTACCATCACCATTACCATCATAACCTCATCATCATCATTCTCATCACCAGCATCAGCAGCAACAGCATAAACAACATCATCACCCTCATCATCATCATCGCAATCATCATCACCCCCATCATCATCATCATCATCATAATCATACCCTTCACCCTCATCGTCATCCTCATCATCGTCGCCGTCATCATCATCGCCATCGTCATTGTCATCCTCATCATCACCACCAGCATCATCATGATCACCATGGTCGGCATCATCATCAGCATTCGCATCAACATCGTCATCATCATCATCATCATCATCTTCATCATCGTCATTACCATCATCATTATCATCATCCTCTACGCTTTCCACCCTCACTCAGTCCCTCCTAACGTGCAGAGGGAGCATCAGCTCGAGCGAACGGAAGAACAGGCGCAGGGAGAAGAGCACGGTGCCGACATCGACCGCCTGGTGACATTAAGTTGTTACTTATCTTCCACATGCACTTGGAGTGCGCCGTCCGCACCCACGCCCTGGGAGGAGCAAGCGCAGAGGGGACGCACGCAAACAAGAGCACGAGGATGATGCAAACGAAGAGATGGGAAGGAAGTCGAGGAGGAGCAGGAGGGGGAAACAGGAGGAGGAGGACGACGAGGCGGACGAAAGAGGAGGTGCACGAAGACGACGAGCTTCGGATCCAATTGGCCGGATCCCAGGCCGCAGAATTTGGAATTGTATGTAAAGGGCTGGAGAATCCACTAGCGATGACGATGAGGACAAACTTCGCGCGCCGATGCGCCCGCGTGCTTGCCCGAGCGAGCGCGGCGGGCATCCGCGTGCGGTCCGCACCGCCGCGGAGTGCTGGTCGCGATGCGCAAAGGCGGACCCGGGAATTCAGCGCGACACATTTCGCGGGATGCTGGTTGCCGCGGCGTCGTTGCCTCAATTTGTCGGGGGAGATCCTTCAGGCGATCGCAAACATGGATGGGGGGCGTGGATTAGCGACGTTCCCCTTTCAAGGGGAAATCACGGACTTCCGCCGCCGAGCGAGGCGGCACCGGCCGCACTTTGGGCAGGGTACCTCCCCCGATCCATGGCTCTCGCGACCGCGCGCCCAATCCATGGATCGCTATTCTATGTCTGCGTGCCCCCGAGTCGTGGCGCACGGTGGCCCCCCGACCTCATCCTCAAAGCGCCGCGGAGTACGCATGGTCGCGCAGGGGCCGCGTCCAAGCCCGAGGTTCCGGCGCGGCCCTCGGGCGCCCCGGGCGCCAGATCCCGCGGGGGCACACGGGCCACCGGCGCGTTCCTTGCGGGCCTGTACGGCGGAGGAGCAAGAAATTCATGCTGAGGAGGAGGAGGAGGAGGACGGAAGCGGAGATGGAGGCAGAGGCGGAGGAGAATAAGAAGGAGCAGGAGGAAGAGGGGGGAGGGGAGGAAGGGCGAGGACGGGGGAGGAGGAAAAGCAGCAGCAGGAAGAGGAGGAGGAGGAGGTCAGGTCATGTCAGGCGGTCCGCGAAAGCTCCTCGATGAGAAGACGACCGGGGGGAGAGCAGATATCTCTCCTGTTCGGCGGGCCCAAGACAAGGCGAACTGGGACACACAAAACCACCATGGCCTTGAACACTCAGAGGGGCACAGAGCTCAGGGGCACCAAGAAAGTACAGGAGGAGGAGGAGGAGGAGGAGGAAAGGAGAAAGTTGCCGACACCAACGGCAACGATAGAGGCGGCGACGACGACGAAGTTATGAAGATATTCCACAGGCTGCGTACGAGAAGCACCTCGAGGACACCAAGGATGAGTAGGTCCGCATGTGCTGCATCCCTTCGCCTTCCCCCCCGCTCTCACCTCCAATAGTGTCCACCTTCCTCCCTCTCCGTCCCTCGCCCCTTCTGTCTGCCCGTCCAGCCTGCTCAAGCTCCCGTTCCGACTCCTCCTCCATCTCTCTCGCCTGCTTGTTTCTACTCCTTTCGCCCGTCTGTCCGTTTGCTTTTCTGGCTTCCAGGTTCAGGTTCAGCCACCATTTCGATGAGCGTGCCATGAATTCATCCATCCTTTCCCCTCCCATCTCGTCCCCGTCCCCCCTCCCCTCATCCCCTCATCCCGTCCCGCTCTCCCGATAAATCCGATGCCTTTGTAATTTTGCTCAGCGCATGGGCCCTGGAAGTCCCGAGCACTTCCCCCGAGCCGGTTTTCAACCCCGAGTCCTTTTTACGGCCTCGGGCCCGTCAAGGGCCCCAGCAGTCCGAAAAGGAAGTCTCACGCCGTGTTTGTTTCACGATGACAGGATCGGAAGTTGGGCGAGGGCTGGCGAATTCGCGGCTGCTAAAACGGTTTTCCCGGAAGGAAAAAAACAAATTCCCAGAATAAAGCTCAGCACACTAAATAGTAAACGGGCTGCTTCCCAGAAGGAAAAGCAATTTGCCGGAGCTTCGTTTTAGCAGCCAAGGGTTTGCCAGCCTTCGCCTGGCGTCTAAAAGGAGGTACCAGTCTTCTTCTCCATCCCTCCCTCCCTCACTCCCTCTCCTCCGGCTTCCCGTCCTCTGCCTCCCCTGCGCCCCAAGGGGAGTCTGGGCAGCCTCGGAGTCGAAGCATCCAACCTCAGGCAGGCCCGGGTGCATGTTGTGTTCGCCTAGCCTGGAAAGTCCAGGGCCCAGGGTACCCAGACCCCCGACGTCGTGATTTTTTCCGAACGTCGACCCCGAGAGGTATGGACCCCTTTCCCGGGACCGGTTTCTCGTCCTGGGTTGTTTTGTTGACGCTCCCGAGGCCCTGGAAGCGCCCCCCAGGGGCCGAAAACAGCCAAAAGCATCCCGCCGTGATTTGTTCACGACGCGAGGGGGTCTGGGTGGGCAGGTTTGGGTCTGTGGGGTCCTGGGGCCCTGTCCGCCTCTCAAACTCGCCACCAGGATGGACCTGTTCGGTGGCAAATCATGGGAGCCTGGTATACCCTTTGAATTCCGTCTTTAGCGTCGACTAGCTTCGATTTAGCGTCTGGAGTCGACGAGATAGCGCCGATTTAGCGTCGATTAGCGTCGACTTAGCGTCGGTTAGCGTCGATTTGGCGTCGATTCGTGTCGATGAGCAAGAGCCGACAAGATGGTACGGGAGGCCCCCATGAGTTGCCACCACCGAAGACCTGGGAGGGCCTGGCGGCACGTCTGGGCAAGGCAGCGCCGTGACCCACGCTGTGGCCCCTCGACCGCGGGATCCCGCCACGGCACCTCCACAGACGAGAGGGGCTTGCCAAGGGGCTTTGCATCGCTCGGCCCTGTGCATTTTTTCTCGGCGGGGTCCATCGAGGAGCATCCTGGATCATCGAGCAAAACATATTTACGCACGAAAGCCTGGAGCATGCACGGGGAAGGGACGTCCGAGCGCCGAGGGATGTCGAGGTGTTGTACCTCCCAGCGGGCCCCAGCAGAGCCCTGGAGCCTCCTCACTAAACCCAGAGCCCCCAGACTTCTACTCCAGGCGAGACTTCTTGCCGTATGGGCCTACTGTAGATCCCCTGCGCCCCCCGCCCCCCCCCCCTTCCTCGCCCTCCTCCTCCTCCTCCTCCTCCTCCTCCTCCCCCTCCTCCTCCTCCTCCTCCTCCTCCTCCTCCTCCTCCTTCTCCTCCTCCTCCTCCTCCTCCTCCTCCTCCTCCTCCTCCTCCTACTCAGCCGTTCTGGCCCAAGTTTTTGGGCTTGCAGCAGCAGTCTTCAGAGCGGCAGCCGCTGCTGCGAGTCATTGTGGCAACAGAGTGACTGTGCCTCCCTGAGGCTTTCTTATCCGTGCCAGAGGAGCGCCCCATGGCAGATGGCGTCGACGTCTTGCCAGGTCCGCGCACTCCCTTCTGGCCGTGTTCTTGTGGGCTCTCGTCAAACTGGGCATCGCGCCTGGTTTGCCGCTGCGGCAAACACGCCCCCGCGGCGGTGGCCAAGGCAGCCCGTGGGAATGCAAAGCGTGCTCAACGTGGCCTGCTGGTGGGCTCCAGCCTCGTCAGTTGCTCGGGGCCCGCACGGGCAGTATCACATCGGCGAAGCTCTCCAAGCAGCTGGCCGAACTACAGAAGAAGTATGATAAATTGGTCGGGAGTGGCATGGGCGGCAGTACTAACAATGTTGGCGGGTCCGTCAGCAATGGTGCTCCCCCAGAACAGAGTGCGGGTGAACGTAAAGAACAAGCAATTCGGGACAACATCAAGCAGCTGGAACAGGCCCGCACCGCAGTGGAGAAGGTGCCCAATTGTGATGAGGCCAAGGCTGTTCTGGATGCACAGTTGTCTGAAGCGCGCAAGCAGTTATCGAGCCTCAAGCCTGAGCTTACGGTCCACACTAACATCGGACACCGTTTGCAGCGGGCTGAGGCCAAGATCGAGAAGATATCAGCTCAGGTTTCCGAACAGATCGATGTGCTTCGGTTGGCTCAAGAGAAGTTGGACAGCCTACAGTCACAACATTTGCTGGCGACGAAAGAGGTGGAGCAACTACGAGGTGAGCTCGTGGCGACACTACCTTCTTCTGTGGCCCAGAAGGATGTTGGACTCGATATGCAGGACTTGGCGGATAACGACGAGGAGCAGGCTCAGCTCGAGGCGCTCTTCCAGTCTTCCCATTTCAAGCTCTACCAGGAGGCCCTCGCGAGGAAGGCCAAGGCGAAGCAGAGCAGCTCGCGGCCTGCGCCTTCGCCCTTTGATCAAGATGGTGATGTTCGGATGGGTCAGCGGAGCGAGGCACCTGCAGCGGCACGTGAAGCAGCTACCGCCAGCGGCACACCCCCTGCCGCGACCACCCATGATGGTACGTGCACGCCCCCTCCAGCTGCGCCAAGTACACCACCAGCCGCAGCTGGCAACGAAGCACGAGCAGCTGGAGGAGGAGGCGACCTCGGTGGACTGCATCAAGAAGTACCACCAGATGCCGAGCTGGACCAGGAGATGGACGCACTCTTCTGGGCAGCGCAGCGCGTGGACAAGCGTAATTTCCACGCCCAGCTTGCTGAACTGTTGGCCAAGCGACAGCGCTTGGGGTAACCCACCACTTTTACCTAGGTGCTGCGGTTTTCGCCTGTCACGAGCAGGCACTGTTCAGCCCCCCCCCGCTCCTCCTCGCCTCGACCCCGACTGTGAGGGCTCGCCTGGCTATGGTGAAGTGTTGGGGTCCTATAACGGCAACTCTTGGGGGGCCCTGAGGGACAGGTTGGCCGCCAGTTCGGCCGTCATTTTTCTGGCCCAAGAGGTTGGTTTCACGGAGGACACCTTGGGTGAGAAATGCGCGGCTGTGGGTAAGCTGGGGTGGAACATGCTGGCTTCCCCGTCGACGGTTGGGGCCAAAGGTAGGCCCAAATGGGGGGTGGCGGTTCTGGTGCGGGCCCACATCGGCCTAAGATGGCCGTTCGGCGGCGGCGCCATTGTGCCGTCTCGAATCATGAAAGTGGTGGTGGACATTCCCCAGTGGCCCCCTCTGTCTGTCGTGTGCGTGTACCTGAGGAGCGGCGCGGGCATGTGTTATCGGAACGTGTCTTATCTGAAAGCCATCGGTCGTACTTTAGAGCATGACAAACTTTTTGTCGTCGGCGGGGATTGGAATTTGGACCCTGTCATGGTTGAAATGTCTGGTCTGGCGAGACGTCTCGGCTCGCTGCTTTTTGTTCCTCCAGGTAAGACCTGCGCCAGTGCCAATGCTCTTAGCACTATTGATTGCTTCCTTTGCAGCTCGACCTTCACGCGAGCCGTGAGCAAGGTCGAGCGTGATCGCAGTTGGAGCTCCCGACCGCACCATCCTGTGAGATTACAGCTCAAAGATCAGGCCACGCGTCTGTATCAGCTTGGTTACCGTTGTCACCAGAGGCTTCCCGTCGAGCTTCCTTATGGACCGCAGCCTCAGCCACAGGATTGGAATGCCCCGAGGGATATGGCCGAAACCGCGGCGCGAGCTGCCCTCGAGAGCCCCGTTGGATTCGCCTGGGAACTCCTCACGAAGGCGTGGCAGTCGTTTTCTAATTGCTTGGAGCTTGAACTTGAAAGTTTTCTGGGGGTGCCGATTAAGGATAAAGGCCTCAAAGGTGTGACTCCTAAAGCTGTTTGGGTTCCCATCTTTTCCACTCCTAAAAGTGCTTGCACCGGGCTGGTTAACCACGGATGGGTTTGGTTATCGCAACATGTTTCAGAGACTCTAGGCGTGGCGAATCGGCTGCTGGCGGCCGCGCAAGACTCTGCGACGGACACTGTGCGGGGCGAGAGCATGGCGAGTGACACCGCACAGCAGGTGCAACAACTTTTAAATGAACCGTGCCCTGGTGAGGGCTTGTCGGCCAGGCTGGACGCGACGGTCCAATCGGCTAGGATTCTCTTGCGGCAATGGCCTCCGTCCTCGCTCGAGAGATGGGTGCAAGAGCTGCGCGAGTACCTCGACTCGTGGGAGGACGACCACGTAGCAGCGCAGAGGGGCCTCGGGAAGGCCAAGCAGGACTCTTGGGATGAATGGCAGGAGAAGGCGTTGAAAGGGGGTGCCAGGGCCATGCATAGACTCACTAAGTTGAAACAACAATGGGTTCCCACGGTTGTCGAGTCGGCCCCAGGACAGTTCAGTAGTGGCCCTCAGGCTCTGCTGAGGGCCGAGCGTGACACGCTCTCTCGTTTTTGGCATGCTTCTGACAAGCCTGCGCTCGTTGATGTCCCCGACCGTGTGCACCTTCCTAGGGCCTCGCCTGAAGCTATTCGCAGTGCCAGCGCTAGTTTCTCCCCCCCACGGCGCAATCTTTAGATGGAGTGCATCCTCGTCAATTGTCGCTGGTGTCGGATGCGGCTCTTGAAACTTTGTCGGCGTTGTACCAAGCTGTGGAAAGCTTAGGCCTCTTTCCCAAACAACTGTT